AAAATACAATAAAAATGAATTACTAGAATCATAATCCAAAAAATGGAAAATAACAGGTGTTGGCTAGAGAAATTGGAACCCTCATACACTGTAGTGGAATGTAAAATGGTACAGCCACTGTGGGGAACAGTTTGGAGGCTCTTCAAAAAGTTAAACACAGAATTACCACATGATCCAGCAATTCCACTCCTAAGTATACCCCAGAAGAACTAAAAACAGGTATTCAAACAAAGACTAGTACGTTAATATTCATAGTAGTACAACTAACAATGTCAAAAAAGGATGGAAAGAACCCAAATGTCCATCGACTAATGAACAGATAAACAAAATGTATATCCATACATGCAATCGTATGAGGCTATAATAAGGAATGAAGCACTGATTACATGCTACAACTTGTATGAACCTTGAAAATATTACGCTAACTGAAAGAAGACAGTCCGAAAGGCCACATATTATATGATCCCATTTACACAAGACATCTACAATAGGCAAAGCCATCGAAACAAGAAAGCAGATTAGTGGTTACCAGGGGCTGGTGGAAGGGAGAACGGAAAGTACTGCTTCACGGGTATGGGGTTTCCTTGTGGGGCGTTGGAAATGACTTGGAACTAGATAGAGGGGATGGCTGCCCAACACTGTGACCTACTAAATGCCGCTGAATTGTACACTTTAAAGTAGTTAATGGTTAATCTTATGTCAGGTGGATTTTACTTCAATATAAAAATGAATTGCTAGGAAAGTGAAAGACAAAAACTATGAGCCCCAAGTTTTTATTGATTCAACGGAGAATTGCTCTGTCTAACGGCTGTTTACTCTGAATTCCTCTGCTTATCTCCTCTTAGACCAGTAACAAAGCGTGCACAGCCCCACTCTGGGGACCACTGCCCTACAAGGGGTGCCCTAGGGGATCCCACCCCACCTCGCTTACTCAGAGACATGCTATCGTCCCTGACAATTATGCTCCCACACATACCTCTCATTAGCTAATCTTTATAATACCTACTATGATAACCCCCTTCTTTAAAGAAGAGAAAAGGAGCTTCCTTGAACTCACCCCCTCCTCCAGGTACTGCCCCATTTCATTACTCCCCTTACAGCAAGACCCCTTCAAGAGCTGTCTACACTCACTGCCCCAATGCTTCTCTCCCACATGCTCCTGGACGCACAGTCAGGGTATGGCCCCCACCTCGCCACCACAGGGGCCGCTCATCACGCCGCTGATCATTTCTACCTTTCAACAGCCCATGGTCAATTCCAGTCCTCAGCTCATCTGAACTCTCAGCATTATTTGGCTTAGTTCATTGAAATGCTTTCTGTACTTCCCTTCCTAGTTTTCTTCCTACCTCACAGGTAGGAGAAGGTACCTACCTGACTCTCCCCTGCTGGTCTTCCTCATCTACCAAACTTCTAAATGTTAGAAGGCCTCAGAGCTCAATCCTTGGTCCTTTATTCCTCTCCGTCTACACTCACCTCTCCAGGTGATCCCACCACATTAACTTCAAATGACATCTACACACTGAATGCTCAAGTTTCTATTTCCAGCAGGGAAATCGCCCCTCAGCTTCAGACTTCGTACATCCAACTCCTACTTGACGATCCACTTGGATGGCTCACGTACATCTCACACTTAACATGCAAAATTAAACTCCCAATTCCTGCAAACCTGTTTTCCTCATGGTCTTCTTTACCTGAATAAGTGGAAACTCCATGTTTCTACTTGAACAGATCAAAAATGATGGAGTCATCCTTCACTCCTCCCTTTCCATCCCATCCCAAATTCATCACCAAATCTTGTTGGTTCTATCTTCAAAATGTATCTAGAATTCAACCCTCCCACACTACCATCACTCCCACACTCCCACCCCGACTAAGCCACTGCCATCTTTTGCAAGCATTATGGCCACAGCCTTCTAACTGGTCTCCCTGCCTCCGCCTTGCACCCCTACAGTCTGTTCCTAAACAGCAGCCAGGGTGATCTTTAAAAAGTACAAGCAGACGTGTCACCCCTTTGCTGGAAACCCTCCAGTGGCTTCCCACCTACTTGAGATAAGAGCCAAAGTGCTTGCAGTGGCTCACAAAGTCTTACACAACCAGGCCCCACCATCTCTGATCTATGTCCTAACACTTTCAAGACATTAAAAAAAGTGAGAAAATGGCTCCTAGCCTTTTTACAAAGAAAAACATTAAACAGTAGCAACACGGCAAAAGGAAAACTTTCCCTGTAATTCTTTTTCCCCCTACATTCTATTTTCATGTTGTAATCTTCAGCAAAACCAGAGGAAAACCTTGAACTCGGACTCATTTCTTTGGATGGTAAAGAACGGTTGATCTTTAAAGAAACTGAAGAAAAATGAATTTAATAGACAAATTTATACTTAAGACTTTAACGAAAACATTAAACCTACTGAAAAAACTGTTTTTCAACTTACTTACAAATCCCCACCTAAAATAACTGATATACTACTTACAAATTGTGATTTATTTATTAATGCAACCAACCAAAGGACCTCAACTCAAACTTGATGGAACTGATAAACGTAACTGGTTATCAGCCAGCCTCTACCACCTTCTCACAAATGACTATACTGATGCCCCCATCCCCATCGCCGCATCCTGCCACTAGCCTCAGCCCCATTTACCAGAGGGCCTAAATGGCCCCCACTTGTGTCGATGCTGATGATAAAAATGAGGATCCAATGCCCCAGGAGGTGATCCTGAGGTGTTCCTATTGACCCCCAACTTTCTCTTTCCCCACCCCTTCCCACCTGCTCCGTAAAAATGTCATGCAATGTAGGAGCCCAAGACACCATATATTTGGAAGCCGTAAAGCCGCATTTCTTTAAAAAATAAGCTAAGGTTTGGATTTCCTATGAATCCATATTCTCCTTCTCCATGGCAATTCCAAAGTAGATATTACTGAGATTCCACTATATTTCTTCCTAGCTCACTCCCTCATGTCTGAAGTGAGCTAGAGAAGGACCAGAAGGTTAAGCCTGAGGTCTCCTCACACCACACTTTCAAACACACTCTTTCAAACATACATATCACCAGAAAAGTTTTAGGAAATCCTAGGTGTTATTCACCCCGTCTCTCACCATGGACACGGGGGTGGCTGGTCTTTCTTTTCCTGGACTGTAACGTCTCTCCTTCTGAGCCTTTTCCTTTTCTGCCATAAATTCAAATGCCTATTGGTCCTCTCCAAATTCCTTCCTCTCTGCTCTAGTAAATTTCCTCTTACCTTTTTGTCGCACTGCCTTGCTCTGAATTTACACCTCTGTCTCAAGAATGTCAATGCTTGTAAAAATATTCCACTATTCCTAGAGCAAGGAGCTCAGGCAATTTCTTCCTGAAAGTAAGTTTCAGTCCTAATTTTCTGTATGAGCAAATGTTTTTTTAACTGTTCCATCCCTAAACTCTGGCTCCATGAGACGATGAGTTAGGAGTGTGACCTTTCGGGACTGTGTTTTCTTATAGAGCAAGTTTACTTAAAAATCATATCTGACTCATTTATTCCTTTGTTCATTCACTCCTTCATTCATCCACTCAGCTGATGAAAAACAAATAGGCATCATAGCAGCTAAAAAGGTACATAAAATGTGTTCTCTGTCCTTAAGGAGCTTATAATTCACATAAATATATAGAATCAAAGGCAGCATGAAAGAAGGACCACGTGGGCAAACATTATACGGTATGAATATTTACATAAAGAATTGTGTTTGTCCGTTCCTGGCAAAAAGTGATTATGAATGGGTCAAAGTGCAATCAATAATGTGTACTTCAGTCTCTCTATAGATCAAACTGGTAAGGCTCCCTCGACCTATGTATTCCATATTAACAAAATCCTTTAGTTTATTTTAGTATGGTAAATAAAGCTTTTTTAGACTTCACTGTTCTGAATTTGGAAATCAAAGCATGGTTCTGATTCTCACTCTCCAAGCACTCGTTTTACCAAGAGGCCAGTTCTTTATAGAGAATCACGTTATTGAGAAAACCAGCTTCTTTTGTCTAGTGGAGTCAGTTCTAGTAGTCGATTTCTCTACCAACTCACTCACTATTGCCCTGATTTCCACTCAATTGTGTATGCTTCTCACTTTCCTAGATCAAAAGATGATGCTTAAATACAAAGAACTTAAAAACAGGGCCTGGAAACACAGCAGCCATAAAAGACCAGCCTATCATCGCAGTGTAAACACGGGGGAGAAAGTTAAAATTGAAGTTGAGGAACTGTGTATTTCAAAGTGCTCTGGTTCATTAAACAGTCATTTTTTATTTTAAAACCATTATATCAGAGTTATTTGCATTGCTACTGCATAAACTCTGAGATCTATTATATTCAAAAATGTTTTATTACGTTATTCTATTTCCTCCTGCAAAAGATGAATACACCTTCAATTTTAAACTGGAAAAGTTTTGGAAAACGATTCTTCAATAGACAGAGATTCATTTCACCAAAAATATCAGGACTTGAACCACATTTAAAGTGCCCCTGGGGGCTTCCCTGGTGGCGCAGTGGTTGAGAGTCTGCCTGCCAATGCAGGGTACATGGGTTCGTGCCCCAGTCCGGGAAGATCCCACATGCTGCAGAGCGGCTGGGCCCGTGAGCCATGGCCGCTGGGCCTGCGCGTCCGGAGGCTGTGCTCCGCAGCGGGAGAGGCCACAGCAGTGAGAGGCCCGCGTACCGCAAAAAAACCCACAAAAAAAAAAAAAACCCACATAAAGTGCCCCTGATATTACATATTGATCCTCCAGAAAATACATCTTTGGCTTCTGATGGTAGTCTCTATCTTATTCTTATCACTCCGGGTGTCCAGAAAAGAGAAACATGATATTAAGAATCTAGCAAAGCAAAATCGTTCCATAACTGAATACTTTAAAGGATACTATACAACCTTTCCAACAGCTGCTATCTGGTAAGCTATTAGAGAGGACCAGAGATCCAGTGCTGGGCAGGTAGCCTCTCTCCACCTCAAATCCAGGCTGCGTAACCAGGAACCTACCGCTCGCTTTGGCTTCCGAGTAAGAGAGGCCGTCCTCAAAGGTGAAGATCTGGGACATGCTCTGGCCCAGGTAGGAGGTAGGCGGGTAGTAAGAATGCATCCTGTACTGGGAACTCACTGCGTGGAGGCTCTCCGAGTTTTTCATCTGCTTAAGAAAAAAGAAGGAATATGTTGAAACCAAAGTTGCCTGTTATAAGAATTACCTAATTCTTTAAATTAAGGGAATAGCTTATTAAAGTTGGAAGTATCCTCACCCATGAATATGCCCCTCCAGTGCACAGACCCTGGAAATACTAGAACTGTGCAGCCTGAGGTGCCTTTTCGATGCTGGAGGCCCCTCTAAAGTACCCCTCTAATTCCATCTGGTCACAGGATGCTTGACTAGCAAGTACAAAAGAGAACAGGGCAGTAAAGACCAAAGAGCGCTGCTTAGGAGCCAACACAATCCCCTGAAACACTGACCAGCACATCTGACCAGGAGCAAGTTATTTAACTTCCTCACGTTTCCTCCTGGGTAAAACGAGCATCTCACACCTTGGTTACCTTACAGTGTTCACATCGAGAGAATATTTTTTAAAAAAACACGCAAGCCTCGTGTGAGGGTCATTGCTGTCGTCAGCATGAGGCCGTGCTGGATACTGTCACTCAGAGCCCATTCCCACCCCCTCCTATGCTTTTCCCTGTAGCAAGGAACGGATGTCTGGGATCTGCTTCTTCCAGATGCTCCTGTCACCAGGCTTCTGGAGGTGATTTGGATTCCGCTAATAGGACATAAAATGAGATCTGGTAGGCAGAAGGGAGGCACATGCTGCTTTTTCAGCAGTAGTGGCAGCTGACACTTGGCAGTCATGCCTTTTTCTGGCAATCAGACCGTGCCTTTGGGACCATCAGGCAGCTTTTAGGTAAGGAGCAGTTCCCATAGCTTCCTGACCTCTCATTCAAGGCTAAGGAGATGGAAACTCCAGGCTTGAAAGGGGTCCCCACTCTTGCTTTCCTGGCTCTTCCTGGCCACTTCCACGAACATTAGAATTGTTCTGAGTCCTGCACGGACCCTGGTACAACAGTGAGCACTAAACACATGATCAGATAGATCTCCACAGCAAGAACAGCTCAACTAACAGCTAGACATCAAGTACGTATACTGCCTTTTAAAAACTACATTCAGGTGGCATTAACTTTATTTAAAAAGTCAACATAAGGGAATGTTCAAGGATAAACCAACTCTGTTTAAGAATTAAGGCATAATTTCAATCAAATCTTTAGAATACTACTTGATAAAGAAAATAGTAGCAACTTGACAGATCCTGGCAGGATAAAAGTAGGTACTGGGCTTCCTCGAGATTTACTATGAACATCTAAATTCTAGACAATTTCCCAAGTGATATAGGCCTAAGTAATATGGCTTTGCTCGGTGGAAAGGCCTAACTCCCTGATTTCTCTGTGCTAATCTGAGAAGCTCAAGGGATTCCTTTTTGACCCTCCCAACTGCTCCCCAGCACAGATGTCTGTTCTAATGGGTGGATTATTGCTTCCTGCAGAAGCAAAGAAGACTCCATTCCACTTATTTCCTTACAAGTTAAGTTTATCTGGCAAGTTCCCTTTATCCTTTCTAGTTTGTTTTTCTGACGCATATAAAATGTTATCCCTTCTAACTCAATCACCCCGCTTTCATTTTCTACCATTATATAAATCTTTACTAAATAAGAGGGCAGGCAAGCTGTACTTGGAAATAGCCAAAGGGGAAAAACCGTCTGCCTTTAATGAGTGAGCCCAAGTCAGAAGCCATTAAAGAGCCGTGAAATCATTTAAAGTGAGGATCAATGGTCAGTTTACTGCACAGACCCAGTTATCAATTAGCCCAGTGCTTCCCAGGGCTCTCTTAATGTGTATTCAAATAGCCAGGGGATCCTGTTAAAAAGTAGACTCTGATTCAGCAAGTCTGGGGTGGGGACCTCACAGTGTGACATGCTCTCAATCAGCATCTCAATCAGGAGATGCTGATACTGCTCAAGGGACTAGAATAAATGATCCTTTCTCCCATACTTGGAGCCTTTAAGGGCCATGACCAAAGGAGGAACTTCTAAAAAAAACTCTTTTGAACAACTGTTTTACAACCATCAACTTTCCACCGGAACTGAGGGAAGGTGGAAATGATGTAAAAAACATTTAAATTTTTTTCATTCTTTTTCTATCTATATATGAGATTCCCCTGAGCTAAAGGATTTCCTTCAGGGGTCTGCTGCCATCTAACATGGCTGCAGCGGGACTAACAAACTCAGACACACTTTGCATTAAAGAGCCACTTCTGCCTCTATAGACCTCTGTCAAGTCAATCACACAGTCTAAGTAATGAACGCTGAACTAGAGGCTAAGTGTCGACTTTCAAGTACAAAGCGCCGTGATGTAACCCAAGGAGCCTCCCCGCTCTAGGTGGTGAGTTGGGCCCTTCTCCTTTCAGTTTGACAGTATCTTCCAGTAAGTTCTTTAGGAAAAATGCTTTTCCGTTTTGCCCACGTACGAGAAAACTGACAGGACTGACCCTGCAAGCCTCTGCAAAATACTGGATTTTTTTCTTTTACTATGAATGTTATGTAAAACCTCTTTTTAAAAGTTTTCACTGTGAGTTTAGAGTAGGAATTGGCAAACATGTTTTGGTAAATGGCCAAAGAATAATTACCTTAGGCTTTACAAGCCGCAGGGTCTCTAGACAAATCAGAAAATGAATGGACATAGCTATGTTCCAATAAAACTTTATTTATAAAAATGCACCCTGGTCCTCAACCTTCACTCTCACTAGAATACAGGGAGGTGGGGACCCAGCACTGATGCCTGGGCTCCACCCCTAGAGCATCAGACTTCACTGCTCAGGGATGTGGCCTGGGCCCTGGGTTTTTTCAAAGCTCCCCAGGTAATTCCAGTGTCACACCAAGATTAAGAACCAGTGTTCTAGGATTACCTACATATTTCCCATACCCGGAGAAGTATGAAATCCCCAGTATCAGCTAAAAAATGCAAAAGGTTAAGTCTGAGAAACAGACTAGTCACTGCTGCCAATCCCAATATGTATAATACTTAAAAAGAGATTCAGCTAAACTGTAGAGTTCTTTTTTGTCTTTCAACTAAAGCTTACCGGAAGATAAACACAATTTCAAATCCATGTATATGTTTGTTTTTCCTTAATTCCTTTTCTGTTTTCAGAAAGCATCAAATAACAAGGATTATTTGGAAACAGATATTGAGTTAACTGAACTCAGACTTTCGATTTCTCTAATGAATCCCTAGATGACTGAGCTATAGCAAAAGAAGACCTCCAGCAAAAGAAGAAAAAGAAATAAAACGTCAGACTCCACCTGAGATTATTAAAATGTGAATTTACTGAGGCCCCCAATCGCTTCACCGGCTCCCAACTAGAAGAATAATCTACAAATAACCATCTGCACAACGACTTGGAAATAAGAAAGAAGGTCGGTTTGATGCATTTCAAAGTGCACATGTAAACCTCTGAAACATGAAGTTAAAACTGAATCGTGGGCTTCCCTGGTGGCGCAGTGGTTGAGAGTCCGCCTGCCGACACAGGGGACGCGGGTTTGTGCCCTGGTCCGGGAAGATCCCACATGCCGCGGAACAGCTGGGCCCGTAAGCCATGGCCGCTGGGCCTGCGCGTCCGGAGCCTGTGCTCCGAGATGGGAAAGGCCACAGCAGTGAGAGGCCCGCGTACCGCAAAAAAAAAACCCAAACAACTCAATCGTGATTCACCCAGAAAGTCCAGAAAGAGGTGTGGAAAAATGCGATTTAAAACTCTAGATCACTTCTTACTCCCTTCTAACTTAAAAAAAAAATCACAGCCTGCGACATTGGGCTGAGACAAAAACGGGTAAATAAGGAAACCTTTGAAATGTCCTGTTGTGTGATATTTTAAACCAGTAGTACTCAGCTTGGGGTAATTTGTCCCCTGGGGACACTTAGCAAAGTCTGGAGACAATTTTAGTTGTCACAACTAGGTGTGTATGGGGGGTGCTACTGGCATCTGGTGAGCAGAGACCAGGGACGCTGCTACGCATCCTCCCATGCGCAGGGCGGCCCCACCCAGAACTGTCCAGCCCAGCATTCTGATGGCGCCAAGCTTGAGAAAACCTGCCTTAAACCAACCCAATACTAACCACCCCCTTGTGCTCAGCAACTCACCTCCAGCTAAAACAGCAGAGCTCTACTGAAGGATAAAAGGTGCTCCCAAATGGAAGGGACTGTTCAGTTCTGCTGAAAGGATATCACTTCTCTTTCCTTTATGCAATGCTGCCTTGCTTCTTCTCAAGATTTTATTTTTTATTCCTTTAAATTAAACAAACCAAGTAAAACCTAAAAGCCCAGGATTCCAGTGCATTACGGCTACTATTATTATTAGCATGTGATAGCTGGCAAGCAAGAGGCATGTTTTATACCTTATTACCCACCCCAAGTCTCTGAACCAGAGTATGACCTACACGGGAGCCGGGCTGGCGGAGAACGTGCGCGGTGTCAGTATTAACCCTGGAGGAAAACCTAAGAGCTTTGGGTTTTATTTTATTAAACTGTTGAGAACATACAGCGCAACGAATCTGAACCACAGGTTTCCCTCTTATATACCACAGTCACCCTTTTTTATAATAACGATAAAATCCCAACAGAATGTAAAAATGTTAGATCCCACTTCCTTTAAAGAAAAATTCCTAAACACTACTCACTGGTGGTCTATTAACAGTTCAGATAGGAAGAGTCTGGTCTCACACTGAATCAAACACTCCATCCGGGGAACAGCTAAAAGAGATTCCTGAAAACCAAGTCCTGGTCTTGTTTATATCAAGCAGAGCTCAGCTGCACAGAATTAGAGTCGGCGAAGAAAGGGGATGGTCTTCATAAGAAGACTGACTGTATAGGCTAAAATTCCTAATTGCAAACTCTGATGTTTAAACAAACAGCGTGAAGATCCCGCTGGCACTGACATGTGACTTACGGGCTTTTAACTGCAAAAGCCACATGTGGGATAAAACTTTGGTTTTAAGAGCAGAAACCTTTTTTTTTTTTTTTTTTTGCGGTACGCGGGCCTCTCACTGTTGTGGCCTCTGCCGTTGCAGAGCACAGGCTCCAGACGCGCAGGCTCAGCGGCCA